ACAATAATAATTTTGAATTTTTCAACAAATCAAAATATATTGATAATTGTATAGTTGAAAATAAAAAAAAAATTGACTGAAAAATTAAATACCTGCCAATTTTTCAGAAACTAACGAAAATTCAGTCCTACTGTTTACTAAATAAGAAGAATAAAAATAAATAAGTAAATATTTTGCTCATAAAAATAAATCTGTTATAAGATACAAATAAGTATAATAACCTAAAAGTCCTATCGCCAGAAAAAAAACTCAATAGAAATTGAAATGATACACCATGTTTATAATGCAAAGAGTAATAAATATAGATTGAAGTCCATCAGGCAAAATGATAATTTAGCAATATAATGCCTACCAATTTTTTTTTGCTAAAACATAAGTATCTTTTTATTGGAGGCAGTCCTATTTAATACACTATCGGGTACTAAATGTGGGTACCTCTCTCCGTAGGAATTCAAACCAATGCCTACCAAATTTGTTGCTGCACTAGTCTTCCCATGTTTCTTATTTTTCAAAAGCCAACCTCCAGAAGAACCACCATTTGAGGAGTCTAATGCAACGGTCATCAACTTATCCTGCACAAAAAAAAAAAAAGAACAAAATGCATAGAAGGAAATTAAGTGACTCAAAAGCTTTCCACACACAAACACATGCAACCCTACGACTACAAACACATACCTGATGAAAGAAAGCCAACATTTACAAAAGCATTGACAAAAGCAATAGGCAGGTCTTGTCTAGTTGAATCAACACAAACACTAACACTAACCCAACAATCAAGCAAGTTTGCTTATAGGAGGAAAAAACAGTAAATTATGGGTTGAAAAAATCCAAGCAGAAACTACCTCTGGTCCTAACTATAAGACTTCATTCATAGTTTATAAATGAAATTTTATAATTAAAACCAGAAGTAGTAGTAGTAATCAAAATCACAGGCACTTAACTTGTACAGGGGTGTTTGGATAGAAACCAAACCATGGTTTCAAAAGTGTTTTTACGGATTACGAAGTAAATATGTGGAGGAGATTACCTCGTTTTGCGGAAAAGTGCTTCTGAAACCATGGTTTTGGGTTTCCCAAACACCCCTAGTCGTTTATGATATTCTCCAGCACCCCCCTGTCATCATCAAAAACAGTAAATTATGAGATTGAAAACAATCCAAGAAGATAGCGATCAAAATCACGAACAGGAAATAGATATCCTTTACTTGTAGTTGTTTGTAATATCCTTTCAGCATCTCCCTGTCGTCATCAGAAACAATAAATCATGAGGTTGAAAATAATTCAAGAAGATAGTAACAAAAATCACAAGCAAGAAATAGATATCCATAACTTGGAGTTGTTTAAGATATCCTCCAGCACCTCCCTGTAATGGAAATAGTAATCAAAAAATCAAATATCTTTTTAAAATAAACACACCATCTTAAATATACATTTTTTAAAAAAGAAAAAAAAGACTCAAACATAAATTATAATTCTCCTGTTTTTAATATAGGACCTAATTGTTAAGCTAACCTTGATCATAAATACCACCTCCGGCCTTTAATATAAGACTCTGTTTGACTTTTATTTTGGTCCTAAATATAAGACCCCAATCAATTTTGTCTCTCATATTTATATTTTTTTTCAAAGTAACCCTTCTAATAATAAGAGTTCTAGTCAATATACTTGATTAGCAATGATATTTTAGGAAAGATAACACCTATTTAGGACAAATAACTAACTTAACTTATTTTCTTAATCTCCTCAAATTAGTCAACTGGCTCTTATAATTAGGACCGAAGGTAGTATAAAACATATATTTATCAATTTTTTTTAAATTATCTATATTGATACTTCCTTAACCATAATCAAGTAGGAGAAGAAGGAAGATATTAAGAAAAATGATTATGGTGTTTTAAGAAAAATATATCATATTTTTTATAATTAACTAACTTACCTAACTCTTTTTATTTAATAAAATTAGTTAAATAGATGTTGCGTTAAAAACCGGAAGAGTATTACACATCATTATTCTCGCATGACGCTCATCTTCACCCTTTTTCCTCCCAATGCTAGTGGGTACGCAGCAGACCCATACCATGACATTAAAAGCTCACTTAAAACTCTCATGCTTTTCTTTTTCTTTCTTTTGTTTTTTTTTTTTGTGGATAAAAAACTCGTGCTTTGCTATACACTAGTCACTATTCCATGCACATATCCTCTGCTCAATTTTCACCTCTAAACTGCTTCGGCAATAAAAAGTATCAATTTGTCCGCCTTACAAAATCAACCAAAACTAGAATAAAACCAATGTTCATAATGATTTATCAACCATGCAATCTCAACTCGAAGAAAAGCTTACTTTAATCTTGTCATTGGAGTCAGAATTAGAAGTAGGACAAAACTTAGGTTAAGTTAATTAAGTCTATTATATTCAAGTATCCAATCAGCTTCTGCCACGTGGATTAGTTTTTCCTATCAGCATTTAACCCGAAATCCATTGTTAGGCCACCGTTAATTCTGAAAAAACTCTTTTCTTTTTATAATAAAAGAGAAAACGAAAGTCCCCAAGGTTGCAATCTGCAGTAAGTATTTTGGTGTGTGAAGAGATTGGGATAATTGGCGGAAGCCCAACTTATATAGGGTCAGTTTGGATTAACGATTAGAAAAGTAACTTTTGAAAAATTGAAGTTGGATAAAAATGGATAAGTTGAATTGTGCTTGGATTGGAGTTTAGAAAAGTTAGTTTGTAAAAGTGAGATTGGTAAAAGATTATTTGGATTATGATTGAGTAAAAGTAAGTTTAGTTGTAAAATTATCAAAATGGGTATGAGTTTTAATAAATAATGAAACATAGTTAAAAAAATAATTTTACATAATACAATAAAATTAAAATAATTTAATATAAAGAAGTCAAATTGAATGGGTGAATTAAATTTTAAAACTCCATAAAAATCATAAAAAATATTGTAAATATAATGTGAGGCATGAAAAAAAATGAATTGAGATAATATAATGAAAAAGTAAAATTTAATGAGCAAAATAAATTTGAAAATTTTAGAGAAATCATAAAAAATATTTTTAAATATAAAGTGAAACATGATAAAAAAAATGAATTGACATACTAGAATGAATTTAAATGAGGAAAGGCAGGAATAAATGAGGAGAGGCACGAATAAAAATACATTTGATAAGAAAATAATTTTCCAACGGTTCAGTATAAGCACGATGCCATTTTAAAAAGCTCCTCCCTTGCAGCTTATTAAAACACATGGTTTGATTAGTGATTTGGAACTGAAGTAGGATGGCCCAAAAGCTGTCCCAAACACCCTTACATAACCAATCGGGCTTATTAACTACTTAAACCTCATTTTGGCCTACAAAATGCCCATCCAAACAGGCAGATAATAGAGACATAAAAGGAAGAGAAAGATAAACCACATCAAAACAATGACTAAAGAACCGGACCGGACCAGATAGTTTAAACAGATTCATCAATAGCTTAGTTTGGACCGAAAAATTGCTTATATGGTTGAGCCGGATTAAACCAGAGTTGACCCATCATCAAGCCAGAATCGAGAGTTGGACTAGGAACCAGAACAGTATTTAAAAAACCAAGTAGTTTTTTTTAGCCTGACTGAAAAATTACTGAAAAATTAAAAAAATATAAGAAAAATGAAAAAAAAATTGACCCCCTCAAAAATCCCATTCTATTTCTAGAATATTTATAACTATATAACTATATATGATTATTTCATTAAAAATTTCATATATTGTGGTGTTAAAACTATGAGCAGCTAGCTTTTTTGCCTCAATGTCTGGTCTAGCTTTTAAAACAATATTTTGATTTGAATGAATTAATAATTTTTAATATTATTTGAATATTTTAAACATGTATAAATTTATATATATATAAAAGGTTTTAGTGCATTTTCAATGATTTGTGAGTTATAAGATACATTATTACATTAGTTTATCAAGGCACCGTAATTTTAAATTATTTAAATATATTTCTAAATAATTTTATAATTTGATATTTTTCATATATATTATTTATATGTATATAATATTATTTATAATGAATTATTATGTCACTAGTCTGATCGATCTGACCATTTAAACCATCACTTGCTCATCTTTCTAGTTTGACTTCCAGTCTAACTTTTAAAACATTACATAAAAAATCGGGGGGGAGATAGATAATGTGATGTGAATTCTATGATCCTTCTCCTACCTTCGGCTTCTAGTTCTAGAGTTTCTCTCTAAATAATTTGAAACTGTCCTACGATTACATTGCTACTACGTGTTTTCTAATATGAATTACATTGCCACTACAAAGCATTCCTACAATTACGCTGTTGAATCTGCCCAGGCAAGAAGGAACCATAGGATTTGGCTTAAAGCGGTGAAATGAAATGTGCCTGACTAACCAAGCCAAAAACCAAGGTAGTAATGGTGGCGGCACCATCCTATTTGCAGAGGAGAACCATGCCAAGACCCCATTCTAAAGCCATTGCCCCAGAAGAGAACCCAAAGCTTCAAACTTTCTAGAGCATGCTTGCGATGGGTTTGGCTTTAGGATTCTCAAATACTATTATTTGTCCACCCTTGGCCACCGTCGAGTCAATTAGCCTTCACCTCTTCTTGGCCGATGAACGCCCTAGTGTTTTGTCATTTATTTCATAAAAGAATTCTTTGACTTAACGCTGGATTTGGAGTTAAATACTGATGGGAAGCACTGATACAGGCGGCAAAAGCTAATTAGTTACCTAAACATAATGGACCTAATTAACTTAAGTTTTGTCCATACAAGTATATTTGATTTCATGCTAGGTACCACCAAAACCATTTTAGTAGCAGTAGCTATCATGAATTTGATGGTTTCTAATGTGAAAATAAACGTACAGATCACTACACTCGAATGAGAACCATCAACTTGAAGCTTACCACAAGCTAGGGACCAGAAAGGGTAAAATAGAGATTAAATCAAACAATAAGATGGAACTTGAATTTATTGAGAACTTGATGGAAAGTCAGTTGCATGTTTGACAATTGATATGAATGTCATCTTGTGATAGTAAAGGTATTTACAGCATTGCAATGAAAGAGAGAAATAAGAATGGGGAATGGCTGCTTCATCTAAGTTCCCCCATTGCATTGGTGGAAGCCATTGCTGCCGCCGCTGCTGATGCTGCTTTTTTTTGCCTTTTGATAATTTACTTTCAGGCTGCTTACGCCCCATATCCTAATTGTCCGATCATCACTGGCTGAAGCCAACATATGAGGATTAGAAGGATTCCAGCTCACACAATTCACAGCTCCAGAGTGGCCTGGCAGTGCCTCGATTAACTCCTGGGAGTCTCTATGCCATATGTAAACCTAAAAAAAGAGCATCGAAAGCCATCAATTTACATTTATATTCAAGTGCATCAACAATTTACACTCATTTTCAAGTGTCCCAGCAGTCATACAACCAAGTTGAAAGAGAAATTCTTGCATAGAATACGTATAGAAAACATAGGTAGGCCAAGCAAATGAGTAACAACTAAGTGAGTCTACGAGTCTACCTCAGAATTTGTCACAATTGAATAGAAATGAAGATGAATAAGATAAAGTAACCATCTCCAAGGACTTCGAGGCCCTTACTAAAAGGCATAGAAGAGACCACTAAACATGGACATCCAAAGTCCAGTATTGGAGCATAAACAGCAGAATTGAAAATTTAACGGCATACCTCAAGTTCTACAAAGGTAAAAAAAGAAAGAGAAAAGCCTACAAGACCTTATGTTCAAAGAATTAAAAAACGATAAAGAACTACTAGTATTAATTTGAAAGTACCAAAACCTAGTACAATATCAAATATAATATCCAAAATGTTACTTCAAGCAAAACAATTTTCTGTTTGTATTTCGTTGACCTAGTTATTATTTAATTACTAACGAGCTGATTTTTCAAATTTGAGTAATCATCAAACACAATTTTAATGCTAACTTCACACCAAATGCCCCTTAACATGTTCAGAATTGTAGCCGGATTAGTCATGTTGATATTTTAACAAATGCATTAAACCACAGTTCACCCAAAAAGAAAAATGTATTAAACCACAATGCAATATACTTATTAATAAAATTGATACCTGTGAATCTTCACTTCCACTAGCAATAAAAGATTGCTTAATTCCACCAAAGCAAGATCTAACTATTAATCGGGTGCGTATATGGCCTTTATACTTGCCGACAAGCTTAGGAACATATTCAATGTTCCAAAGATGTATTTCTTGGTTATAAAGACTAACCAGCACGAATTTGCTATCCTTTGATAAAGAAAAGGAGGTTATGGTCTGATCCTCTTCAACAAATCTCTCATCGTGAGTTGCCCTGTGGAACAATAGTATTGCATTGTCTTTGCAAATACTTACGATCTGTTCCCCATCACTAGTTATTGCCAGATCTGAAATCTTAAGGGTCCTAAGTCCTCTGCAGGCCTCCAGCTCCTTCCCATCCAAGTCCCACATGATAATGCTCTTGTCATTCAGGCCAGAAAGTATATTTTTTCCACTCGGAAGCCATGCACATGAAACCATGCCAACACCAGCTTTCTCGTAAACTTGGAGACATTTACCAGTAAAGACATCCCAACGCCTAATAGCTTCCTCCACCCCACATGTAATGACCTCTTGGTCATCAGGACTCCATGAAACAGAAGACACAGGTTTCTGATGACCACATAATCTATGCTTCATAGACAGTTCCCCGTTTGAGCCAACCTATTTTTTTAAAAAAAAAAAACTTAAAAATATGAAATCCAGTATTGTGTGTGTGTGACTATGAGCAAAATTCACAGAAAGGACACATCAGGAAGAACTCAACAAAACACAAGCATAAGTACTATCCAGGAGCCAAACCACCATATTAATCATTCAGCAATTGTGGACTCTTGAAAATTAACATAGGTTGAATGAATTATCTATATAATAGAGCCACCTCGGAATTAGGTTGTTTACAGCACTATGCTGATAAAGCTGCCCACTAGGGTATATAGGGTAACGATTCTAAAAGACTCCAATGGGGCATCTCAGGTTCTAAACCCATTAAGAGGGAGGGAGGAAGGGAAGGTAGGGAAGGGTGGGATTCAGCAGAAGTAAGCTGCGTTGAATAGCAAAATTATGGATTCTAAATCATTCTATGGCATATAAATATGGCATGCAAACTTTTAGAAGCACACTCAGTCAGGATGAGCCAGTGAATTCTTTGAATCTTCCCAGAACTGGGCAAATAGCTTACAAAAACAAATGGCATTTACTTTCATCAAGCATATACCAGGAACACATTTATAATATCACGGGGACGCAGGGCAAGCCAACCCATCACAGACGTAAACAGCTTGCATTGCACCATAACAGTAAAACAGGGCCACTACAAAATCTAGTATGCAGGTAAACCCTTGAGACATAAGTAGGTAAATAAGCAAGCTGGAGCTGAGTCGAGTCCATTCAAACAAATCAATTAGAACAGAAAGGGGAAGAGGTCAGCAGGGTCCAGTAATGCAGTCAGGTCAATAAAATTTTCCTTTAAGCTGATTAGGTATCCTATCACAAATAATTCCTTTAAGGTTGCATTGCTTCACTTCTTGCAGTGTAAAAATTTGAAAAATTCTAAATATAAATTTAATTGACCTCATAGCTATTATGGAACTAAATTGCTCATTTTGACTCATCTAAAGCCAAAATTGATCTCATTTTGATCCCTTTCTCTTTCCTCGAATTATCTGATTTATTAGACGTGCAACTCAACATTCTGTATTAAAAAACCCATATAAATTTTAATTTCAAGTAATGCAACAGTGCATTTTGAGCCATAATTCTCACTGCAACAAGCCACATTTCCCCAGATACTACCCGTTGTTCTCAATAAATGGTATACATATTTGTCCATCAGTAACTCAATACTTCTCCTTCCTCATGCATTGTATAGACCTTAGGAACTTAAAATCAAGCTTTCAATACCAGTAGCTTATTCTCAATCTGAACCAGCAGTTAATTCTTACTCTTAATCTCAGGGTTATCCTCCTTTGCTGTCTTTCAACAAGTTATCACTTGTGTAAGACAAAAACAACAGGCAATGGTAGAAATTGGTATCATTTCCTACATAATGAAAATTTCCGTTGCGACCATGACTCCTAAGCTTAATGCAAGCAACATGTTCCACCAGTATCAATGGCATGAATGAGGAAAATCATAATTGGTATTTCTGCGCATTGAATGATGATAAGATCAAAACACAAGAAATGTAAACACATTAAAAAACAAATATAAACAAAGAAAAAAAGGCTCCAGAGCAAAGAAGACAAAACAGTTGACATTACCTCCCAAATGATAGCTGATCGATCATTTGATGATGAAGCTAAATATTTTCCATTATGTGAAAATTGCACAAACCAGACTTCATCATCATGTCCTTCTAATACCTGTTTGAATATATACAGGAAAGTAAATGATATCAAAAAAATTGATACACTAAAGCTATTGAAAGTGTTATGCAGCGAGGCAGAAACCAAAGTTAATAAAAAGTTATTGAATTTTAAGCTCAAAGTACAGTGATACTTCCCTTTGCTGTGACATTGCTTGGAATTTTTTAATCAAGGTTTTAGGCAGAGGTCAGGGCCACCCACCTTAGAGCTATTGTGTGTTCAGCGGTATTGCAAGGGTTTGTGAACAAGTGTTTTATTTGCACGATTGTAGTTTGTTTAAAGACAGGCTTTCATTAGGTAAATACCTCAGTCTCAACAAACTCTTTCTGGACTTGAGACTTCAAATCTTTTGCTCATGCTTATTTTTCGGGAGACATTCTTTAACATGAAAAGAGATGAGAAGGCTCTCTCACGTTAAAGGGCTCATGCTTATTCTTCAGGAGATATTCATTGCCTAAAAAAATCTGATAATTAAAACTTCTTCAGAGAAACCTTAAAAGAAGAAAGCATTTCGCAAGACTGTCTTTAGACCAATATGCAAATGCCACGGTTTATAATTCACTATTTTGCTGAATCTTGTAGAAGAGATGATATTACTATGCAGTGAAGTGAGACTTCAAAATGTACCCCGAAGACAATCATGATTACACATTATAGAAGCATTGAAACAAAAAAGCTACAAAATCAACAAATTTTCTACTCTCAAACAAGCAGAAAGAAAGAAAAGGGCTATGCCATTATAAATTATCAGGCCACAAATGAAGAACCAGGAGAGAGTTGATGTTTTAAAGCACAAAAACCAACCATAATGATGTAGATATTAAAATGCAAACATCAATTAACGCATCATTTGCTAACCTGCAAAGTTCTAGAAGGTATCTGGTCTTTTCCGCAATGATGATCAGCATATAATGACATCTCCTTATCTAAGGAGTTGTGAAATTGACAAGACTCTCGTTGCAAAATAAGGGCCTGTTCAACTAAATGTTCTAACCTCCTTTCAGGTACCATTATGGTTGGGGGAAGCAGTTTCTGCAATTCCTCCAGCAGCTTTGACCGAGACCTAACCCTTGCAACATCTTTTTTACAAGAATTAGCATGGCCAGACAGTGACGTGGATACTATGCAGGAAGAAAGTTCACGAATTCTGCTATTGTTTATGCCAAGTGGTGCAACCTCAGTCCTCAGGGTTTTCAATGCATCCATCACCTTTTCCCCATCCAGAAGCTCAAAAAATTTCTGCTCCAGAATCAAAAAAGAAGCTGACCTCACAATTGTTTCATCTACCAGACCAATTTTACGCAATGTGACTATACTTTCATCCCAATTGCCATCAAGTATCTGCTGAATAAACAGGTTTACCACCCATGAATTGACAGGTGTTCCAGACTCCTCCTCTAAGCATGCTCCACTCTTTGTATAACCAAGAGAATATAATGCATTAGCAATTATCCTGACAAATTCATCTCGTTTGATAACTCCTTTTGAACCAACAACTTGTTTGTCCCCTTCAGTTGGTAGGGGCCGAGCCATCAACTCACTGGAAGAGCCTTCTATGTGCTCTTCAGAAGACGAACCGTTTGACAGCCCAACTAATCCGTTAGAGGACAACTTCATGCGTTTTAAGGCTGGTCCTTCATCCTCCACACCTCCCATGAAATGTGAAACTCAGTCCATATATAATTGTGGCAGTAAGAAGCAAGTGAAAGGGAACAATCGATAAAGTTTGTTGTGTGAATGCCGAACAAGAAATTCCTGCAAAGCAATGGATGAATAAACGGCAATTAATACCACAAATTGAGCCCAAAGCATTAAACAGTAGAACTTCTAAGGTATATCCATCCTCAAGTGGAAGCAATAAATGAACGCAATTAAGAATTAATGCAAGAAGTAAAAGACTCAAGCTATCCTGCTTCAAAACCAAAATGTTTCTGCCAAGCTTTCCCACCCAAACATGAAATACCGCTCGATGCCCGGCACAGATTTCTCATAATCCCTCTGAAACCGACAAGAAAACCTATCCGGAAAAGAGACCCAGCTTTACCAAAATGTCCACTTTTCCGAGGAAACAAACAACCCACGATGAGCAAATTGAAGTGTCATCCAAAAGGTTAATCGATAAAGCAATAAACATCAGAAGCCATAGATCCAACAACTAGGCAATAAGGGGGCAAAAAAACAAGATTGAGAACAATGATTCACCGACTCACCCAAGAAGCAGAGAAATGATCGGAAGCTGGCCGGAGCCAGAGCTGAAAGTACGATCGTCACTTCAAAGGCACCGGTTGCTTCTGCTTCTCCTTCGTCTGGGGAAACCGTTCTTGGTCTTTCAGTTCTAGAGAGAGCAAACAGAGGCCAAAATACCATACTCTTTTCCGCTTCTGGATTTTGTGACGCCTGGATATTCTTTTATTCAAGAGAAAATTCATAATTTAATTTTTCTCTTCTTTCTTCTTCTTCTTCTTTTTTTTTTTTTTTGCAAATTTCTTTTGCCCCTCCTATCTCACGGCGACACGGAAATGCCGCCCACCCGCGTATGTGCCCATTTCCTTTGGTCTATATATTTTTAGGAAAAGTGACATAAAAATGACATAAAAACTTAGAAATTTTCAAATCATCATTTGAATAAGACAAATTATATTTTTATCATTTTAGACCAAATTGAGATTTTCAAATTAAATGGAATGACCAAACCGCCCTTATCAATTACAAAACATGGGCAGCACATTCACTTGCATCAAATTAAGTCTGATAGGAAGGAAAAAAGAGAGAACGTGCGCAATGCTAAATCAAATGAGAGGAGGAGGTACTAGTTCAAAAGTGTAAATATTTTTTTGAAATCATATAACTTTTTTCATCCTACTAGCATCACTATGGTGTTCAATTTTTTCATTTGATGGTTTTGGGTTCTGGGTAATCGAAGATTCAGATGAAGCTGAAGTGTGGCATTACGGAAGTAGAAGGTTCTTCAAATTGGATGTTGGTTCTTCCTTTTTTTAGGTGTGAGAATGGTTAAAAATTTGAATATATGGCTTAGTTAGTGTTTGACAGGGTTTAGATTCTGGGCAAGTTTGGAAAATTTTGAAGAAGTTAGGTGATGATTCTGGAGATGAGAAGTTTGAATATGAACAGCAATAACTCATGAACTGTGTGGTTAATAGCGAAAGTGTAGTTGTAAGACACTATATTAAAGTTGTTAATACAGGAAGTGATTATGTTGGATTGATTTTGAAAATTGATGAAATATCTTTGTTAGAGAGCGGACATAGTGATGAATTTTTCTTCTTTGTTACAGGCTAAAATGTAAAAAAACATGTAATATTGGGTCAACATCCTTAAAGGAACTTTTTAAGAATGTTGAAGGAAAAATTAAATATAATGGTTGGAATGTGAGAGTGAAAATAATAAAAGATGAGATAAGACTTAAAGATCTGAGGTCCATGATGTTGGAATAGTTTGAAATTGATGTAATAGTTGTGGTATGAAAGCTTGTCATTGATTGTATATTTTGTAAATACTATCATTGAGGCTCTGGTTTGTGAAAAATGTCATTACTAAACTTGTAATTTGTTTTAAATGTATTGTTAATTACTGTAGAATTTTGCGAGCAAAAGTGCTTTACTTATTCATTATAAAAGTTTTGTTAATGTTCATTATTTAAAAAATCAATTGAATGTGTGTTTTGTGCTGATACAATAACATTTGACCACTTTTTTGATCTCACAAGATTTTTTTTCAACTTTTATAATGAAATTAACAAGTGTAGTAATGTTATTAACAACTTGAGTGACAACATTAACAGCAACTTTTCTAGGCACAAGTTTCAAATTGGGAATTTTTCAAATTTTGTATTGAATTTACTAGAGTTGTTAATAGTTATACTGAAGCTGTTAATAATATCATTGAAATTGTTAAATTGGCCATTTTTGTATTTCCTCAAATTTCAGTTGTTAAAGGCCACATTGAAGTTGTTAATAGAGATAATGAACTTATTAACTACTATACGAAAATTGTAAAATTTCCCATTCATGATTATACAACCCATCTCTCCCAGTTCTAACAAACCTTGATATGAAGTGGTTAATAGCTATACATGAGTTCTTAATAGTTATATTGAAGTTGTAGAAGTGACCATTTTTGCGTATTTTCGAATTCCTGTTATTAAAGGTGATATTAAAATTGTTAACAGAGATAATAAACTTGTTAACCACTATACGAGAGTTGTAAAATTTCCCATTTATGATTATACAACCTTTCTCTCCAAGTTCTAACAAGCTCTGATACGAGGTGGTTAATGACTATACATGAGTTGTTAATAGTTATACTGAAGTTGTAAAATTAGTCATTTTTGCATTTTCTCGAATTCCTGTTGTTAAAGGTGATACTAAAGTTGTTAATAGAGATAATGAACTTGTTAACCACTATACGAGAGTTGTAAAATTCCCCATTCATGATTGTACAACCTTTCTCTCCAAGTTCTAACAAGCTCTAATATGAGATGGTTAATAGCTATACAGGAGTTGTTAATAGTTATAGTAAAGTTGTTAACAACATCACTAAAGTTGTAAAAATGACTATTTTTACTTTTCCTTAAATTCCTGTTGTTAAAGGTGATACTAAAGTTATTAATAGAGATAATAAACTTGTTAACCACTATATGACCTTTGTTAATATAGATAATGAACATTAACAAAACTTTTATAGTAAATAAGTAGAGCACTTTTGCATTACAAGTTTTGCAGTATTTAACAACACATTTAAAGTAAATAACAAGTTCAGTAGTGACATTTTCCACAAATAGAGCCTCACTAACAGTATTTATAGAATATACAATCAATAACAAGCTTTCATGCCACAACCATTATATCAATTTCTATTTCAATATCATTGATCTCAGATCTTTAAGTCTTATCTCTTTTTTTTTTATCATTTTCACTCTCATATTCCAACCATTATATTTAACTTCCCCTTCAACATTCTTAAAAAGTTTTTTTGGATGATGTTGACCCAATATTACATGTCTTTTTCTATTCTAGCCTGTAATAAAGAAGAACAAAAAATGTCAATTCTCTAACAAAGATATTTCATCAATTTTCAAAATCAACCCAACATAGTCACTTTATACATTAACAATTTCAATACAATGTTTTACAACTACAATTTCGCTATTACCCACATAGTTCACGAATTATTACTGTTCATATACAGAATTCCCATCTACAAAATCATCACTGAGTTTCTTCAAAATTTTCCAAACTTGCCTAGAATCCAAACCCTGTCCAACACTAACTAAGCCATATGTTCTGTTCTCACATCTAAAAAAAGGAAGAACCAACACCTAATTTGAAGAACTTTTGACTTCCATAATGTTGCACTTCAGCTCCATCTGAATCTTTAATTACCCATAACCCAAAACTATCAAAATGAAAAAAAAAAAATAGAACACCACAGTGATGCTAGTAGGATGAAAAGAGTTATATGATTTCAAAAAAAATACTTACACTTTTAAACCAGCACCTTCTTCTCACCTTCGATCTAGCATTGCGCAGGTTCTCTCTTTTTTCCTTCCTACCAAACTTAATCTAATGCAAGTAAATGTAGTGCCTATGTTTTGTAATTGATAAGGGTAGTTTGATCATTCCATTTAACTTGAAAATCTCAATTTGGTCCGAAACGATGAAAATAGAATTTGCCTTATTCAAATGATAATTTGGGAATTTTTAAGTTTATATATCATTTTTATGCCATTTTCTCCTTTTTTTATATGTAGGTTTTTTTTAATTATAGATAATTATATTCGATACACTATTTTTTTACTTGAAATTAACTGCATCATTCATTATATATAAGATTTAATTTTCTTTAGAAAAATCATAAACTTTCATTTCAATCTCTTAATTTTAACTCAACACATTTTAACTTTTAAATATTATTGAGCTTTTTTTTTGCCTGAATATTATTGAGTTAAGACATTATAGAATCTATAATATCATATCATAGGTTTGAAATCTAAACTCTAGGTTGTTCTTAGCTAGGAAACTATAGAATTTGAATTATTTTGGGTCAAAGTATAAGGACTAAATCAATATTATGTATAAATATACAATTTTTTTTCCTGCTCTTCCTAATATAACATATGTTATCTAAAACATTAACTTTTTTCACCTAGTATCACCAACTGGTTTTAAAACCTTCTAACTAATTAATCAACTTTCTCTAACTAATTGAGGGTAATTTTGATCTTTTATAAAATTTAACTAATTTTAATTAATTTTATTAATTTATATAGAATTGTTATTATGTACTTATAATAAGGAACAAAGAGAGAAATATTTGATATCTGAACTTTCTTTTTATTTCAATTCAGTCGCTCAATTTTGACTAAGAATAATTCAGTCTTAATATATTACTGATCACTTCAGAAATCATAAGAACTGAAGTATTATATAATTTTAAAAAAATTTTAAGGACTGGCTTATTCTTACTCAAAAAACTACAAACATTGAATTGTTTCGAATCAAAGATAAAGGGCTGAATTAATAATTGAAGAAAAAATTAAGAATGATCAAAAGTTGTATTTTTTTCCCTTTTATTATGTATAAATATATAGTTTTTTTTTCAGTAAATCTAATATGAATACTAATATTTACAATTACTAAATAAACTCTTTTCATTTTTTTGGGGAGATAATCTTTTCTTCTGATTTGATATTTGATATTTTATATTGATGGTATTCTTAAAAAGATATATGACATTTGGACATCAAAGTAATTATTCCTCGTTCTCAATTATTAATCCTTCGCACAGAAGAAAGGCCCAGCATGTTTTCCTTTTTATGTGCATCATTTTCTAGTGATAAAGAAATTGTAATTTTTGAATCAATGTAATTTTCAATGTTGTTTCATTTTCTAGTTTATAAGGTCTGTTTTTTACATTTATTTTTACTTGCAAAATAAAAAATTGTGTTGGGACTCAAAATAATTAATAAGATAGAAGGATTTTAATTTTGTTTTTAAAATAACTTTTCAACTTTATCTTTTAATTAGAAAATACAGCTAATTCGCGAAAAATTTTAATAAGTGAAAAGGAATGCTACTTGAAAAGAAAAGCTACGTTGAGATAAAAAAAATATACAATTAAAATAAAAACAAAATGACTATCAACTGTTAGTCTTAATGGAAAGAGTTATGATCGCTGAAACTCGGTCTTAAATATAGAAAACATATTTGAGAAAGTTACCTCTAATCGGGGTTGATAATGCTAAAATCTAACCTAATCAGATAAAAATTACTATCTCCAATCTTTAATATAAGACCTTATTTGACTTTAATTTTGGTTTTAAATATAAGATTTCAATCCACTTTGTC